GCGTAAACTTGGCGCGAATGAACACTCAAGGTTCCTTGATCACATACTGCCAAAACAGCCGAAGGATCACAGTTTTTCCGAAGCGGTGTCATAATTCAGCGAAAATTTCGGCGCGTCGTCATCACTATTCCGCATTGGCTATCAGTGTCTAAAAATCGTCAAGCGGGATACAGACGACTAGGGGGCACTTGCAGACATGGTCAACCGTGAGTGCAAACACTTTAAGCTGCGCTAGTTGACAGATAACCAATTAGTGTCGCATATTTCCCGGTGTCTTACAGTCCCCGCAAGATGCCGAGATCCGCACAAGACAACTCTTCAGACTGGATAAAGACAAGACGCTGAAATCCCTCATGGCCGAGTGCAAAAGATTTATTACTCTGAAACACGACATCGCCATAGCCGAAGAATCTTTTGCACAACCGAGAAATATCCACTCTGTGACAGGTTCCAAGCGAAACAGACTCGGCAGTTCCGCTCCGAAATCACAGAACAGATTGCCTACTGCCTGTTGGTCATGCAATGAGTGGCATTTGGCCAGATTCTACCCATTCAAAAAGCATATTTGCCAAAAGTACCATAAACGAGGCTACAAGGAAAAACTCTGCAAGCGATCTCGACCAGTCAACACAAAACACCAGTCAACGCAAACACAAAAACCGTTGTAAAATCCATGTCAGTCGCTGCCGCTTTCCAGAGTGATTTCAAATCCTGCAGACGTTACCTTACGGTACTCAGCAACGGGATTGCTTCCCGGATGCAGTTTGACACAGCTTATGATAGAATTACCATTTCCAAGAGCACATGGAACCACAACAAGTGGCCGAAGGTTGCTACTTCTGACAAAGTGACTCACAACGCATCTGGTGGAGTGCCTAATCTGGTTGGAGAAACCAACAGCTAAATCGCATCTAACGGGGTGAAAAAGACCGGGACATGCTACCTGACGGGCCAACCGAACCTAAAACTTCTTGGAATTGACTGGGTCAGGAGGCCAAGACACTGTGATGTTCCCATGAACCAGATTTGTAACCCTTGTAGGCCGAAACCTCAAGCACCGAACGGACTGTCACCAGCAGAAACGGTGATGAGCAAGCTGCGCAAGTCATCCGATACACTGCCACCAGCTCCTGAGTCATCGTGCAGCGAGAGGAACAGAAAAATTGAGCAAGAATTTAATCGGCGGTATGGCGTAAAGCAACGCTCATTCAAGCCCGGAGATTCAGTGCTCGCACGCGACTATCGGAAAGACCGTGCAGCATGGACTCCAAGTGAGATCAAACGTAAACATAGGGACCTCATTTGCGATGTGCCCCTTGGATCAGAAAACTAGGTCGGCCAGGCAAATCAGCTACGCTTAACGCTGTGCTGGCCAGAAACAAGGAACCTAACCCAGAAGCATTTCGAGCTCCTTATTGACCATTGCAACTTAACGAAACCAGACAGAGAAGGCCACAGTCAACCGAATGATGTGTCTGGTAGTTCAGAGTCAACTGCAAAAGGTACTTCAACCCAAGCAATGGGTGGAAAGACGGAGAACACCGTCTTCAAGACTGTAAGTCAATCCAAAGTTATCATGCTACAGTGCAGCCACGATCTCAAGAGAAGAGATGTCCGGGAGAGAAAAATCATCCAGGAAGATTCATTAATTCAATGGGAAGACTAGTTGACCCAATGGTGTCTAACCGAAACATCAAGTTGTTTCAGGAACGTTCGCCTCAGGAACGTTCGTGTCCATACGACGTGTGCACCAACCTTCACGTTGGCTAGCAGAACTGATCTACCCATCCGACAGCTGACCTAGCTGTTCTGATATGTGAATCTACCTTAGTTGACCTATAAGAATCTGTTGATTTCACACTACTTGTATCCGTTTCGGTAGCTGGTTCTGCAACACGCTTTTGCCTTCAAGCATTGACTTTCGGCTGGGATACGGAGATAGCAGAGAACGACTTTCGTCCAATCGGAATCCCATATAAAGAGGCATACCATAACAAAGGATATCCTTGCCGAATTACACTGGTGACAGCAAAGGAAGACCAAAGCCTGTCTTTAGCCCTAACTCTAGCCGAGGTCAGACTCTACATAGCCCGCAGTACTGAAACGAAGTTCCCGAGAACGTCATTCCACAAGAAACAGTGTCACAATGCAGGCCTGTCGACAGAATCGAAGGCAGCACGGATATGCAGGAACACAACAATCATTGGCTCTTGGTACACATGATACTGCTCGGGGATTTGACGGAGTGTGGAAATTTGATCGATGAGGCCAAGACCATGGCAAGTCCCGGGCAACATCATACATAAGTTTAAAAAGGAACGGGTCCGCGTAGATCCTAATATGCTCTGCGACAGCTGTTTGCACAATGTCACGTATCACACGATATAGTCTTGCTCCTAGAATTCAGGAATGCACCCGACTAAGTTGATTGCTTCTTCTCTTGCGACATACATTTTGGGATAAGTGTTATTATGAACTAGGTGAACGTCCTACAATTCATATCAGGGTCTGTCGTGAAATGCCAGACACCATCCCAACAACATGCGGAACTCGTCAAAATTGTCCCATTTCCAACTTTTTCCCAAATTATGATGCTGTCATCACCGTTGTTGTTGTTGTTGTTGTTGTTGTTGTTGTTGTTGTTGTTGTTGTTGTTGTTGTTGTTGTTGTTGTTGTTGTTGTTGTTGTTGTTGTTGTTGTTGTTGTTGTTGTTGTTGTTGTTGTTGTTGCTGCTGCTGCTGCTGCTGCTGCTGCTGCTGCTGCTGCTGCTGCTGCTGCTGCTGCTGCTGCTGCTGCTGCTGCTGCTGCTGCTGCTGCTGCTGCTGCTGCTGCTGCTGCTGCTGCTGCTGCTGCTGCTGCTGCTGCTGCTGCTGCTGCTGCTGCTGCTGCTGCTGCTGCTGCTGCTGCTGCTGCTGCTGCTGCTGCTGCTGCTGCTGCTGCTGCTGCTGCTGCTGCTGCTGCTGCTGCTGCTGCTGCTGCTGCTGCTGCTGCTGCTGCTGCTGCTGCTGCTGCTGCTGCTGCTGCTGCTGCTGCTGCTGCTGCTGCTGCTGCTGCTGCTGCTGCTGCTGCTGCTGCTGCTGCTGCTGCTGCTGCTGCTGCTGCTGCTGCTGCTGCTGCTGCTGCTGCTGCTGCTGCTGCTGCTGCTGCTGCTGCTGCTGCTGCTGCTGCTGCTGCTGCTGCTGCTGCTGCTGCTGCTGCTGCTGCTGCTGCTGCTGCTGCTGCTGCTTACGTAGCGATGCTCATATTTGGTAAGAACACGGGGTTAAAAGTACTGAAGAAGTTTGAAAGCCCGTTCCTCACCTACCTTAATGTACGATGCTTGCTGTCGACGTATCTAGTTGGATGAGACAGCGGAGTGGTGAATAGAAGATGTGACGGGAAAGCATGAAGAAACGGGCTGGTAGGCTTGGTGAGTTTGGACCGAGACTGGCTTAGACAACATCAGTGACAAAAGAGGTCAGCCGACAGGGTCGGACTCGAGTATTGATCACCCTCCTGCATTCGGTCTTTTGCACCTAGCCAGTATCTTCTCCTACCTATTTTCCACAATTCCCATCTCACTATGTCCCATTGCACGTTCGATTTCACTTTCCTCACTTATCATTATTAAACTGTATAATGGAGTAAAAGGTAATTTAGACTGTATAGCTCAAATTCTCCACAAAGAACGGCAGCTTCGTGTTTCAGGAATCGTCAGCAACGCGCATTCCAAGTCTGCTGCGTAGCTACAAATTAAGACGGTTGGGCACCTAATGAAAGTACAGGTTCTTTAAAGAAGCAAGAATGGAGGACCTTGCTCGAGGTAAGCAGTTGTTCTTAGGACCACAAGGTATAAAGGCAATTTAACAATGAGTTCCGTAAGCGCCGTTTAACCTTTATCAACATTCTGTACCTGGGAATGGCTAGATTTCATGTATTAGTTGAAGTAGTGACGTGTCATGTGCAAGCATGTGGTCTGAGCGGCATGTCTACAAACGGATAAACATGTTGAAGCACTTACGGCGCATACAGATATATCAGTAATGGGGAGCATCCATCCTCTAACTCAAGGGGTGCGAGCGGAGAAGTGTCGCTGCGTTGAAACCTAGTGCGTACTGAAGCAGTCGAACAGATGCGACGGTTCAAGTCCAATGTGTGCCATTTAGCACACCCTATTTCTTGGGGGCTACGATAAGTAACGCATTAAGAGCATACCTAATTAGAGTACGCGTAGCACAGAAGTAAATGCATCTTCTGTGGTCAGCAGCTAACATGTCGTCAGACGTGTTAGCTGCTGACAATAAATCACACATAGTAGTTATTGTGATGGTAGATGACAACGCAAGCGAACAGGAAGGGCAACCAATACTACAACAAAGTCGGATGGACAAAGAGAGATCGGTTTGCCCAGTGGTGAGACAATCACGCCTTTGTCCGTCTCTAACCTAATCGAGTCACCGGTAGCTTACGCAGGTTCCAGGCGCAATACGCATCACACGAGGACGGCTAACAGGCCAAGCGGAAACCGACAGAGGCGGCAGACAACAAGCCAATCAGAGCATGCACCGAATCAGCGGACCGGAATGGTTTGGAGGCGTGGACAAAGCGCATCAATGTCCCAGAGAAGCTATGACTGGTCCACACGGATAAGAGCGAATGTTGGACGTCAGGCGAACCACCGGAAAGAATCGACCATTGAGAAGAAGTTCAGTGAATAGTAATGTAAAAGCATAAAACTACCCAGTATTTCTTTAATAACAGATTTGTGGTTGCTGCCCAAACTTTCTTCTTGATTCTCGGAGGGCTACACAACAGTTACCACTTCGGCAACTGTGAATGGGAAATGCAATCCAGAAAATCACCCAGATCCACAATCGCCCTTACGAAGTAAAAAGCAATCAAGGTGTGATGGTTCATAACAATGATAATAGCCAGTAGCCGATGAGAGGTTTGTAAAATCAGACCCCGGAAAATGTAAGCTCTAGGTACAATCTGCAAAATTGCACAGTGATGGAACTCACAGTATACATCAAACTGGAACGGTTGCAGTGAGAAACTCCGCGTACTTCACCATCATGAGCCCTCTGTTCGAATACACGCCGACGGTTGGCAATATCCCAGTATTGTATCTAAATGGGGATTAACAGGGAAGTCCGATACCTTTCCATCTGCAGTCCCAAACACAGCAAGACCTAGCGTTTCTGAGTTCAGTGATATGCAAGTCATTTTTTCGGTAGTTCCCTCTAATGAGCCTAAGAAAGGTTTAGCCATCATCCGTTGCAACTTTGCAGAGTTAATGGCTCGGACATATTCCCTTTCAGAGGACAAAGGATGCTCAGATGGGTGATAGTTTCGGGGAACTATAAACTAAGACAACCAAACCGATAGAAACGCTTACTTTTGAAGATATCATCCGACGTTTCTCGTCGGAAGTCTGACGGATTTCTTGAAAGCATGCGAACTTTCATGATTGCAAATTTTCAGAAAATCTGATTGAAAAAATTACTTCAAAATGTGTTAAGAAAGGATATGATGCAGTTTATGGCACAAGGAAGTAATTCAGTAGGATTTAATGCCAAAAGCTAAACGAGTTGGACGAGTATTTGTCCCATTTAGATTTAGATCAAGGCAAACTACATATAATCTTAGACGAATCGAAGAAAATAGGTTTAGAAGCATCGTGAGCAGAAAGGGGCTGTTTAAGCGATAACCCAGATGCATGTCTGAAAAAATAACGCATAAGAGGAGCAACAATCCCAATCGATACGAAAAGTAACGGGCAGCATGCGAACCTCAGGTGAGTTGGTGACCGCTCAGACAGACACATAGGCATAAGTACGATGATATCAAGATTTACCCGGTGATCGAGCGAAAGGCACCCAACCCGTTGTCTTATTCCATATTAGTTCTGTTTACAGCAATAGACCACCTCCTATCCATCAACGTCATCAACACACGATAGCCGAGGGTGAGACACACTACAGTTAATGTGCCGCAATACAAAAAGAGAGTAAACAATACAGACTAAAAAGGCTATAAAAATGTAACATAGGGCTAAATATGCCATTATGCATAGGCTTTGAGATTGTTGTGGGAGGGAAGCTAAAGGAGAAGAGAGGAACAAAGAGACTCACAACGCAAAGGTCACAGGTCGGTTCTTCGCCAAGTCTGCTAGTGTATTCAACCAAACGTATTCATCGTGCTTCGGACAAGAGCCCAGAAGTTAGAACACACCAACTGATGACAACTTCGAAGTGAGGATTTTCATTTCTCTCGAACAAGTCATTGCATGGTCTCCCGTAATCCTCTCCCATCAAGACCTCGATCGTACAAACAACGCACGACGCAGGATTCGGTGTGCTGCTATACGCAACACGTCGCCTAGCCATCGGAGTCTGGTACGTGATATAATGATGCTGAGCGGTTCACTCGCTCTTACTGCACGAAATACACGAAGCCGAACACATTCATTGTTCACGCGGCACTTCCATCAGACATGATTTAAACTGCAAATGTAGCGATGGTCGAACGTACCTAGTTTCATTGTCTGTTGACTTTATGGGCAAGGTTTCAGTCGTATAGGAGGGACCAACGAACGGCTCCACCCTCCACGGCTAGAGTCATGTCGCGTCGGAGCCACAAGTGGCGGGGATTGACAAAAGCACCTGGAGCTTGTGCTATACGGTTCGTGACTTGATCTTCGATCTTGTGAGTGAAAATGTATCTGCTCATGTACTTAAATTTCCGAATGAATTTTAGCTTATCACCACCAAGCGTCAGCGCAAGGGTGAGTCCCTGCTAATCTTAAAAGACTGCGTTTCGAGGGAACAAAGTAAAACCCAGTGTTATTCTGTCCAGTGCCGCGAAACACGTTTGGGAGCTATCAAAGATAAGGGCAATGTCGTCAGCATACTTCAAAGCAATAAGTCGCCCACCAGGAAGCAGCTCCAGATCTCGTAGGTCGTGTCCAGCGACCGCTGTTTCCATAACTTCATCAATGGGTTGGCTTGCCGAAAAACCTCCTCGTGCTGCCACCCGTTCCAGCAAAAGGCTCGGTGGCAGCGTTCCAGGATGAGGTGCGTTTCCAACCTGGTAAGCGTCCTCCCTATAAAAAGCCACGTATGTCCGTTTAACAACACTGCGATGTGGGGCATGTGACTCGCCACTAAATAAAGTCATTGCCCCTTGCTCCGTCTCGCTGGAGCATTGTAATCCTTCAGCTGGACGCTCAATTACTTGGTGTATTGGGCGTCTGTTTGGCAGCCCGCCAAAGGAAAGGCGTATGAACCGAGAAATCGGTCACCGACTCCGAATGGGCACGATTCCTTGAATCCGCCCCGCTGCCTTGATCGAAGGCTCCGGGTGCGGCACCCTAAGTCAAGCCCCTTCCTCGGCCTGGGCAACCGGGGAGCTGTATACCCACACAATACATGAAGTTATAGATTTACGACTCTTCTCACGATCCTCGCTCTCAAGACTCTCACACTTTGGCCGAGGTGCTGGCGGCCGGGCATGTCAAACCCCACTCCACCAATCCGCAAACCAGCATCTCCGTTGCATGTTTATTGAACCCTCCTGTTCTTGACAACCCACCTACCATTTCGAGTCTCGCAAAGTGCATTGCGAATAAAAGCGGTACCTTTGGCCTCATCAGTGAACCGCTCAAAACCGATCGCGCACAATCCAATACCAACAGAAAGGATTTTATTGCACTCCGCTCGCTATTCAAGTTAGCTACGTTCAGTGTTCGAACGGTCGTGCAGCTTGGATCACAAGCTGTCCTTGTGCACACCTTGCAATTCCTCCTAATCGACGTTTGCTGCCTGAGCGAAACCGGTATACAGGACTCTAGCACGACACTGCGATTGCTCTCACCATCCTCAAGTTCTAATTGCACATTCACCGTGCGCTTATCTAGAGATGCGACAGCGGCAGCCTCTGGTTGCGCTGGTGTAAGATTTGCGTTAAACGCGCGTGCTGAGGCAGCGGTCATTGACTGGTTCCCAGTCAACAGCCGTCTTTGTGCAGTCCGCTTAGAAAGCTCCGTACGATATTCCAGCAACAGGCCCAATAGGCACTGCGTGTACATTGTGGCGGCGTACGCTCCTACGGACTGCGGCCCGGATGAAGCTAAAAAAGAAATTCTACCGCCAACTCACCAACTTCCTTCAAAAGCAACGCCGCACGGACATCGTGGTACTCGCCAGAGATCTAAATGCGCAGGTCGGTAGACCAGAGGCTCATGAGCGTGAACTTGGGGGTCAACATAGCCAAGGTACTCGCAGGACGGACAATGGCGATCGACTCCTTAAGGTGTGTGCCGAGCACGGCTTGTTCCTTACGAGCACCAATTTCCGGCGATCCTGGCGCCAACAAGCCAAATGGCGACCTCCGGCAGCTGGTGAAGCTTGGACGCAAATTGACCCCATGGCCGTTAGTTACCGTTGGCCAGGATGCATAACGGACTGCAAGTCATCGTGAAACACGTACTTGACTTTGGATCATGCGCTCGTGTGTGCTAAGTTCGGTCTGCGATTTGGAGGCACCCAACAGCGTCGCTGGAAACGGCTTGACACTGACGCTCGCTGCCCCAAATGTTCTCGGCGCATTGTAGAACACATCAGACTCCAACCTGCGTTTTCTATCTTCCGATGTTTAGACAAACTGGGCACAGACTCAGAGCGTCATACGAAAGTCCGCTACCTTGGTCTGTGGCTTCACTAAACGAGCTGCTAGTCACTGAATCACAGCACAGTCTCTACAAGTAAGGGAAAGCCGCCGAACAATTCCGCCGAAATTGAGTACAATGCACTACGCAGAACCACAGGTGCTGAGCTCAGACAGCTCCACGGGAAGAAACGCGAGGCATGGTGGACACAGCGCGTTCTTGAGATGGAGAGGGCAGCCTCATCAGAAAACTCCCGCAAACTCTTCCAACTTATTCGGCAGAAGGTCAACAGTGAGTGGGGTTTAGCGTGAAAATGACGGTGAACTAATTCACAACGGTCACCATCGTCTGGTACGATGGGCAGAGCACATTGAAGATCAGTTCAACTGGCCACCAGCACAACCGAATCCATCTTACGGGGTTCACAATGCTCCCTAGTGCGTGGATGTTTCTCCACCCACTGAGGCTGTTGTTTGAAATGAGCTTCGCCGACCAAACCACCACAAGTCACCTGGCCCAGATGAACTTATTCAGGTCCACTTCAAATATGGGGGTCCTCCTCTCACTCGCGAACTGATATCATCATCAGATTTGGACTACTAAACCCATCCTATCTGACTGGAAAAGAAACGTTCAGAGATCGACTGGCCTACATTGAAAGGCCTTAAGCAGTACGTTGGGAAGGCAAGTCTGGCAGACACGCCGACACTGAATGAGAGGCAGAGAGCACTTGCTTAGCTGCAAAACGGCAAGTGTACCGGTGCCGACGGGATCCCGCCTAAAGTATTGAAACATGGCGGACCCACGCTGGTGACTGCGCTGCACCACTTGGTGCAACGCTCGGGAATTGAGCAGGAGGTGCCTCCTGAGCTGAGTATGCATTGTGCTATCACTGTACAAGGGCGAAGGGAGCAAGCAATGTTGCACGAATTCACGTGGCAACAACTTGATGAGTTGTATGGATAAGGAGATTGTCCAAATCAATCAATCATCAGCAGCATTATATCAGCCATTTGAACTGGTGCATCGCAGCCATACAATCACAATGACCTATGAATTAAAGAATAGGAAGAGGGAAAGGCGACTTAACTGCAAACATTAATACCCTAAGCAAACATTCAGGGTCAAGGTGCCTACACCTTGTGTAGACAACATATCGTCACAAAAAGCTGGCTATCGTGCAAAAAAGGGTGGCATCGGCGAGACAGCTTCCTTGCGGCTTTCACTGCCACGCGTCACAATCAGCCAGTACCCCGCAGATAACTCAGCACCAAACACACTTTAAACAGGCAATCCGATTAGGAGACAGCAGCAGAAGCGCTACTGGTGTCGGTTGCGAGCCATGTCCTCTAAAGTCTCGAGCCAAGCAAAAGGCGAGTCACGTGGACTCCAACCTGGAAGGCGAGACGGACCAACGGCACCTAGTTTTGTCGTCAGTGACTTCATTTGCCGCTTCCAAGTCAACTTCTGTCCATCTCGAGCCTTTCGTCACCCTACACCTGGCACACTAAACAAGGCCCTCCTAGGTAAGCGGTGACCAGGCATATGTAGCATGTGCCCGAGCCAACGCAACTTATTCAGTGCCATCCGACACCAGCAATGCTTCGCAGACAACGATGATCAAAGTTTTAAAGGCGCCTCAGATCTTCAGACCGAAGGGGCCAAGTCTCAGTACCCCTGAGCGGAACGGCCCCCACTGTGGCCTTGTAGACCCTGTCTTTCAGAAGGAGGGAAACTCCCTTCTGCGCCAAAGATGCCGCAGGTTCAAGAAGGTAGCTCTAGCTATTGCAATGCGTGAGC